TGTGGAGGTACCTTAAAAAGCTAGGGTTGGAGGTCCCATTCAACCCAGCTATTTCCCTCCTAGGTATTTTTCCAGAAGAACTGAAAATATCATACCACAGCAATATATGTCCACCCATGTTTATAGCAGCACAATTTGTCATAGCTACCTTGGACATAACCCAAATGCCCATCAACTGAGGAATGGATAAAGAAGATGTGGCGTTTTTACACAATGGAATACTATTCAGCTATAAAACAAGATAAACTTGAGGCTTTTATTGGTAAATGGGTGCACCTAGAGACCATACTCTTAAGAGAAATAAATCAGAACTGCGTGTGCAAACATTGTATGATCTCCTTAGTGTGAGGATATGAAATAGAAAATAAAATCTGAAGGGTACAAAAGATGCTGAGAAAGTGGAATGAAACAATTCAAAGGAAGGAATTACTGAGTTGAGGAGAAGGATAGGAGAGGTAGTGAGGGAAAGAGATATAGCTATGTGTGTAAGCAGGTTGATTTGGACAACTGTACTGTGGATTTATGCTGCTCTATCAAAAGGAGCAGTTAATACTTAATTCACTTTGTCTTCTTTTTTCAATTTTTGACCTTTTTCTCTTAATTTCTTATATATTTCTTTTTTTACTTCCAATTTTACATGCATCTACGTGGTAATATGAACAACTAGTTGGAAGACAACACTATGCATTACAACAAATACTTTGAAATTAATATTATTTTTAAGTGAAATTCTGTATCACTTGTAATTTTTCTGTTTTAATACTATTTTGTACTCTTTAAAAATAAAAAAATAAAAAATGTGGTATTTTTACATGATGGAGTAACACTCAGCTATTAAAAAAGATAAATTCAAGATTTTATAGGAAAAAGGATACAGCTAGAGACCATATTCCTAAGTGAAATAAATTAGACCCACATGTGCAAACATCATATTGCCTTGCTAGCATAAGAATCTGAAAGAGTAAATAAAATCTGAAAGGTACAATAGATACTGTGAAAGGGAAAGAAACTGTTCAAAGGGAAGGAATAACTGGGATGAGGAAAAGGACAAAAGAAAGAAGGAAGAGAAAAAGGTATATTTATGTACATACACAGGATAGCCTGGACAATTGTACTGTTGATTTCTGCTGGTCTATTGCAAGGAGCAGCTAATGCTTAAATTTTTTTTCTTCTCTTTTTAAAAATTTCTTGATGTTTCTAGCCCTGTAGTATCTGGGAATGTCTTTCAGTTGCCTTCATACTGAAACTCTAATTTACTAGGGTATACAATTCTGTTTCAAAAATTATTTTCCTTTAAAACCCTGTGGATGTTCTTTTGACTTCTGACCCTGAGAAATGCAAGAGCAAAAGCTGAGGTCGATCACCAGGATATGTGTAGGTGTTGTTTTCTTCTCATTGAATTTTAATTTTTAAAGGTAGCCCATGAATCTTTTTCATTGGCAGGCCTGCTTCACTCCTCAACTTTGGAAATTTTCTTCAATTTATTGGAATTGATGGAGCAGGAGCTACAGCTCGTGAAAGGCTGCAGAGTGAAGGTAGAAGTGAGCAGGGGACGGTTATGGCTTTAGTGGCTGGTTCTTTCTTTTCTTTTCTTTCTTTCTTTCTTTCTTTCTTTCTTTCTTTCTTTCTTTCTTTCTTTCTTTCTTTCTTTCTTTCTTTCTTTCATAGAACCGGGAATTGAACTCAGGCCCTTGTGCTTGCGAGGCAAGTGACAATTTCTGACATTGCCAGTGAAGCGGAAGGCCCAATACTATTATGGACTACTGGACTCTTTTAGAATACTTTGCTGAGTTAACACACCTGTAATATTCAAATAAAAGAACTAAACAAAAAAGGGGACATAGATGAATGTCCATTTTGTGTCTGTGTATTCAAAGTGGTTAGGATAGATATATAGTTACATTCTCTTAATGAATAGAGGGATTTGTTCTAATGGTGTTTGTAAATAGGATATCATGTCTGCATCTTGTACAGCAATTAACCACTAGGAAGAATGTATGCAGTGTGTTAATTATTGAAACTGTCCTACCAATTTGGTTTGAAACTCTCATTGCTATTAGTTTCTCAATAAAATTATGGGAAAAAAGTAAAATTAAAAAAAAAGGAATTAATATCACACACATACAAAAAAGTGCTTATTCTATTGAGCTATCTCCCCGGCCCCTAATGGGTGATTTCTAGGCTGCATTTCAGGGATACCTTTGGGTCCTTTTGGGATGGCTAGGGAGCTTCAGTAACTGATTTCTCAATAGCAGTAAGGGATCCTCTTAAAACACACAGCCTCAGGCCACTTCCTTGCGAACTGTGAGGAAAAACTCTGACTTCTACCACTCACTGGTAGTCAGGGTAACCTGGAAAATACCCACATTCATGAGATATCTATTACACAAGATACATCAGTGGTAAATAATTTACATAAAGGTTCAGGGTAGGATATCAGAAGCTTTCAACAGTTTGGAGGCCTCAAAAGATTGGAAAAAACAACTTGGTTGACGACTACAAAAGCAAAGCTACACATTTTTCTTTCATTTCTCGATTGGCTTCATTTTTGAGATTCATTAGGGAAATCCAAGAACAAATCTAACAGAGTTTGGACATAAAAGACCTTTTCAGAGAGGAACCTAGATCAATGAAGACCATGTTTGTTTTATAATAGATATCCAGTGTGTTTAAGGGAACATCAAAGAGAGTTAGGGGCACAAATAAAATGTTCTGCTAATACATCTATCTTGATGGGACACAACATTTGACCGAGACACCCAATATCCTTGGAACCTTGGGAAATTTATTTATCCTCTCCAAACTTTATCCTCTATATATAGATAAGAAGAGTGACTCTCCATTGTGTTGATGAGAACCCATGCATTCCATTCCATGTTCAAAGAACAGTGCCTGGGATATCTAGAAAGACCAAGTCCTAGAGTGCTAGTATTTTTAGCTATTGTTAGGTGAACTATACTAATAGTCCTGGTACAAAATCCCCAGTTTCACCCTCTATATCCTTCTAATTGATTGTAAAATAGGGTAAAATCTTGCTGTAAGCAAGATTCACCAGGGTAATTTCTCTACAGTCATAACACCCAGCTTCTCATGGTATGGAGGACAAATTCATCCCAGGGTATGCAAAGTCCTGTTTGCGGCAGCACATAGTGTGTCATGACTGAAGCTCTCTAAGGAAGATATTTAGGGCAGAGTACAGATGGGGAATGAGCGTCAGTTTCAAATAGGCCCTAAATTGAATTTTTCCTTTACTTCAGAATGAACATATTACAAGCTGCCTAACTTGTATGAGTCTGAAAAAATGCAGGTAACATTGGTTCACAGAGTTTTTGTATAGACAAAGAGATCACAGATGTCCACCATGGAACACAGTGCCTGGCCCACTAGGTGGACTTAGCCCTGGCCTCTTAGCACGGGTGAGGGTCCTTTCACTCTGTGTGGTGGTGATGTGGCAGGCAGATTCCTTAACAGCTCCTCCAAATTCTCTCCTTCACCCCTCTTTTTGCATCTTGAAGCCAACAATTGCCTGGCAACGGGAAGTAGCTCTGAGGAGTTGGCAACAGTGCTGCTATAGAGATTTTGGGCTTAATAAGTTTTTAAAATTAATTTTCACTGATGCATAAAACTGTATACACTTAAGGGGCACCATGTGAATTTTCAGTACACATATTTACTAGTGTGATGTTCAAATAGCACTAAACATATCTATCTTTGCCTAAAGACCTTGATTTGGTTCTGTATTAGTAACGTGGCATGGCACATGTCACATAACCTTTCTGAGCTTCAGGAACATGTGGACACAATATAGTTAACTCCATAGGTTTGCGCTAAGAATGAGAAAAGATGTTTGATGAAATGCGTGGTGAGTTGCTGTGCATTTTAAGAACATCCGGGATATCGTGCTGTTGTCCTAATAGCCTTGCAACCCTTACCCTGCGATCTTTGGATGCTACGTGTGTTTCATGTGTGGTATAACCACTCTTCCATATCAACCTATTCCAAGTAGAATTTTCCATATTTGCTTGAAAATGATGGCGAGACCTTGTTAAATTAATCTTTCTCTTAGCTTAGAGTGGAGAGAAGTGGACCCTTTTCTTTCCAGTTTGGGAAACCATTTTCTGTGCGATTATTCCATGTATTCAGAAATGCTACAGAAATAATGTCTGGCCTCTTTCCTGCTGCACCTACTTGGGCTTCCTGACACTTTAAGACCCCAGAAAGGCCTTTAGTGTCCCAGCTGGGTCACTGGAAACCAGGGAGACTGCTCTCAAGCCTCGGAGGGGAAGCTCTGGTAGGGGCTTCTGGAAATGCAAGGAAGAGCTGGGGAAGGCTTGAGCCACTCTCCCTGGGCCATTGCAAAGGACTCCCATGCAGCACTGCAACAGCACAGCTCACCCTAAAGAAGTGTCAAAAGGAGGGACAATCCAAGGGAGCTGGAAGAGTCCACAAGAAATGGTAACTGTTTTGCTCATTTGCGTGTACGAAGGTCTCCCGCAGAAATTCCTTGTTCTAGTGCTATTGGGACACAAGGCCTCAGGCTGCACTACTGGGGGCACCATTAGCGTTTTGTCCCATGAACTCCAGGGGGCGCCATTCACATAGACTACCATGTAAAAGGCACTCTTAGATTTTATGCAAAATTTGGACCAAATCTACAAGAGCCAAACTCCTAGTCTCCAACAAAGCTTACGTTCTTACAGTACTTTTCTCCATACAACTTGGCAGTTTCTATGATAAACAAACCAATGCCCAAATCAAACATTTTCAACCCCTAGCCAAATTTTCCAGAGCGATGATAGTACATGATATTATACCTTTGGATGTGCACCAATCAACATTTCTGTTTGCAGTGGAGGAAGTAATAATGAGAAAAACAGAAAATGTATTATAATTCATTAATCTCCTTCTTTCCCATTTAATTTGGGCATAATAACTCTCAGTATCTGTTCCACTCAAAGCATATTAGGAAAACTGTGAAAGGAAGTAAACTGGTACTTTACTTTTAGGTAAATGCCAAAGTCATCTCTCTGCTTCAGCATCTCCAGATAAAACACCGCAGCAGAGTAGTTGAGGCAGTACATCTGGTGGCTCTGGCAGAGGCTTCCGCGGAAACACTACGGAGGAGACAGAGAGATGGAAGTCAGGGAGCACGGAGCCCCACAGGCTTCCTCTTTCCCTTTACTTTTATCACCAACCAAAAGAGAGGAAAATAGAGGATCCACCCTACCCACGTAGAAGCTAGGGCTGTGTGGATATGAGCAGGTAATCTCCACAATAGACATTCTTCTAAAACTGTGTGTGTTTCCGTAATAAATAAGGAAATCATATTCAGGATTTTAATTCACTTCTCTCTTCTCTGCTGCTCTTGACTCCACTGTCCTTGTGAGTGGATGTGAAGCTTGTGTTGCCATTAAGTGATTGGTTAATGACATTTCACTTCATAAAATATTCTCAAAAATAGTCATAAATTTGATTGTTCTGCCTGCTTAAAAATATAGGAATTTGGAACATCTCAGTGAAGTGTTTTGTATTTAGTGGCAAACATTTATTTATTTATGTATTTATTTATTTTCTAATTTTATGTATTTGGTACAGGGTCTCACTGCGCAGCTTGTGCTCATAGTGATCCTCCTGTTTCAGCCTGCCTAGTGGCGCTGGCATGGCATGCGGTACCCAGGATCAAACCCGGGCCCTAGCACTTGCCTAGGCAGGTGCTTAGACTTCTGAGCTATCTCTGCGGCCCATTTTTTGTTTTAGTCTTACCCAATGTAACACTTATCTTCTGTCTTTTTAAGTATTCTTTTTTAATGCCTTAAGTTTGTCATGATGACCACACATATGTAAGCCACCTCAAATTCATTTTATAATAAGAACAACTATCAGTTTTTCTACATTTCTGTATTAATATATTGAATGATCAAAGGCCACCAATTGAGTTAAGCACTTTTGGGGGCAATGAGGCTTCTCCTGCCCTCCTTAGTGGCACTTCTGCCTCACTGCTGGCAGACACTTTCTGTAGGATCCTGCAGTATCTACCACGTTACTGAGCTTTGTGCCCACAGACAGATTTATTGGTCAAATGTCATGGGTCCCATGAAGGGATTTCTAGTTGCATCACAATGATGTGGAATCAGAGGAGGAAGACATGCTTACTGGAAATACTAGAGCAACAGTGATAGAGGAGATAGCTCCAGCCCGAAAGGCCACTAGAGAAGAGGACAGTACAGAAACTGGACATAACACAAACCTGGAAAAATATTTTCTTATAGGACTTTGAGAACAGAATGGTATGGAAAGCAACACTGAGTTTTTGGCTTCTGCAGGAAGTAACTTTAAAGAAGATGACATGAGTTTATGTTGGTAGGTGTGGATTGATGGGTGGGCAGAGCAGAGGACAGAAAGGTGGGAAGAAGTGTTTCCCTCCCACACTGTGGTGCCTGAGAAATGCCAGCCCCAGGAGCCCATGGCCAAGAGACCAAGCTGAGTGATTGATGGCCTGACTTGGAAATCCAGTTCTGACCCCCACTAGCTGTAGGACCTTTGTCCCATCATTGGGCCTCTCCAAGCCTCAGTTTCATTTTCTGTGACTTCCATGCATGCTCATGAGTGCTTACAGGATACCCTGTTCTTTCAGTGTCTGAACTTCTTGTGCCAGACTGCTCCCTGTTCCTGTCCCTCTGCCCTCTGTTAGGCCCTGGAATGGGAGCAGACGTTGCACAGTTGCTGTTGAAGAGCTGGGCTTCCTATCTCTAAGCCTGTGCTTCTATGGACTCGACAGTGGGCTTCTCCTGTACTCTTATCTACTAACCACTGAATTTAAATATTTTTATGGCTCTTCAAGAACTGAGAAATCCTGAGACTTTAGCTAATTGCCTGAACTTTAGTACATACTTTTTCTTGTTTTCCAAAGTTCTTAAAAATGTAAACGTGTTTGTAAAGTTTACAGAAGGACTTCCCTGCTCCACATCCAACTCTATGCTAACACTCCTGCTTCTCTGTAACCTGCTTTGGGAGCATTGTCCAGGGACAGCTAACTGCTTCACCCTCCATCCTACCAAGGATGTCTTGTGGTCTGCCCAGAGAGTCCGAGTTTTCTTTTATGTGTATTCAGTATTTATCTCAATTTGATTATATAATTGTTAGTTTCATTATTGTATTATTCTCACCAATAAGTTGAAAATCCCTCAATGGTAGGGTCTTGTCCAATTTTGCCCATTGTAAATGCTCAATAAATATCAACCTAGCATTTTTTTTGATGTAGTATAAAAATTTAATTCTTTTTAAATGAGATCAAATGGATTGAGTTGAAAAAGTTAAAGTAAAAAAAATAGGGGAGGATGTCCAAATATCTCAAGAGGAAAGTACCATTTATAAAACCAGGGCTTTAGGGTTTTCTCTTTTCTCTTTATTTAGCAAACAGAAATATTATCAAAGGTGCAGGTGGATTTGAAAGTGTATTTTGCCCCTTTGTGAGAGACTGACACTTCTTTTTTAGAACAAATGAAGCATGTAATTAGTGAATGCTAAAGCACTGCCATAAATATTACTTTAAATTGAAGTCATTTGAAAAACAGACTTGGAAATGGCTTTTCCATGCACAGATTTCTGTGCTAATAAGACCTGCAGGAAATGTGACAGTGGGAAGACAGGATCTACAAGTAATTTTTGAAAATGTTGATCGGTGGAGAAAAGGAGGGCTCTGGGATGCGACAGTGGTAAAGATTTCCTGGGAACAACAACAATGCCGACGATGCTGAAATTCAATAGCTATAAACAGCCTCCCTGGGAGGAAGATGAATTTATTGCAGGAAGCTGAGCCTCTGTAGAAGGGTTTTACCTTTGCAAGCACAGAGATGAAATCCATCCTTGGCGAAGCCTGGGAAGTGTCTACATAGCCTTTGATGACGCTGAAAAGACTATTCACAAAGCCAAGGCTTGTCTAGGAGCAGAGAGAAAGAGGAATTGAGTGGGCAACATTCAGGACAAAGGAAGACAGATCTGCTGCACCTCAAATGCCAGTCATACAGATATTTCCCATTTCAAATATCTGCTAGCAAAATCCAAAGATTATTTCCCTCCACTTTCCAGTGGACATTTTCTTAGAAGTGTTTCTCTCCTCTCTCTCTCTCTCTCTCTCTCTCTCTCTCTCTCTCTCTCTCTCTCTCTCTCTCTCTCTTTAATATATTTAGTCCAGGGCCTATAGGGTCTCACTATATAGACTGGACTCTAGTGATCCTCCTGTTTTCAGCCTCCCAAGCACTGGGATTACAGGCGAGCACCACCACGCCCAGTCTCAATCTTCGTCTCAGCACACCCTGGGGGTGGGGCTGGCACTGCATGCCGGGGATTGAACCTGGTCCTTGTGTCTGCCTAAGCCTGCACTTTAGTCCGCTGAGCTATCTGGTCAGCCCTAAGAGTTTCATAAACAAATTATGTTATTGTCTCCCTTCCTTTGGAGAAAAAAAGATATGCTTATTTATAATATATGTAAAAAAGGATGTTCCTTTGAGAGTAAGCATTTATGAAGACAGTGAGTTCTGTGGAATTTATCTTTCTTAAATAGCCATGGAAAAATTAAAAAAAATGAGGCTTAGCTAATATTTACAGTCTACTGGGAAGATAGCAGCAGGTGCTCAGGTACTCTCCTTGCAAACCTGAATGCCTGACTGTAAGAGGATGTGGGACACAACATGGAATAACTCATATTCTGTGTGCCAACATGGACATAGTCGCACATAGCACCCACCATCAATTTTCAAGACCCTTGGTGAATTTTAAAATGTGATCGCTGGCATCTTCCTATTTTAGCTCACCTGGGTTAACTCCTCCAGGTTGGCAAAAAGTCTCCATAAATCCACATCCAGAAGATACTCGTGAATTTGCAGATATTTTAGTGTATTCAGAAAGATCTTAAAACAAATAAACATGCGTTACTTTTTGTCTTTAAATTCTGAAGCATGCCCCGTGCAAGAACATTCAACACCAATTTCCTGGTTTAGCCTTACAAAACAATGTAGCAGTCAGTATTCCCAGGGCTTTAGAACTATACCCAGTATAAATCCTGACATTTGAGCTTCACAGAACATACTGGAAAAGTTCTCTCTTGAGTGCAAAGGTGCTGCTATGTGAGTCCTAGCAGTGTTCCCGTTGAACTTAATCTGTCCAAATGGACTTTCTGAGCTGCTTGGTGCCAAGGAGGCCCAGAGGTTCTGTTCTTGCCAGCAGCACCAGTTTGAAAGCTAAGACATCCTCATGCTGGATTCTCATTTATTTCTTCCTCTGCAAAAACCCAAATGGCCTCAACTTTCAGGGAGTTAAAAGTCGAGAATTAGTGGGCTAATATCTGATAACTGATAAGATGATTTCATTCAGATAAAGGTGCTAAATACTGCTGAAGACACTAAGGGAGTCTTGGCTATAATTCTCAGTGTGATGTTTACACACATTAGGGGAACTAGAGAGCAGGTCAGGAAAGCACTGCAATTCGTGCAGATGACCTGCTCTCGTTTCTCTAAACTCATTTCAATTAATTGAAAAGCAGATTCTTTATATGTACAGGGTTCAGACTTAATTGGTTCCATGGTCCGAGAGAAGACGCCACAGCCATGCTTGTCCCCCGATGCATAGTTTGTGAGCCAAGCCCTTTGCAAACACAATTAATTCTTCATGAACCAAGCTATCACTGCATACGATGGAAGTGCTGGAAGGGACTCAGGACCAGCTGTTCCAAGGATTTTGGGAGGACTTCAGACTGCTGGCTCCCAACTCCCACTCCTACATCATTTAATGAGTGCCATGAGTGGCTCTAGAACATGGATCACTATCCTTTGGAGACCCTGTTAAACCACAACCTGCTGGGCCTGACCCCAGGGTTTGCCAGCAGGGTCCTGAGAGGGGTGATGCAACATTAAGAAAAAGCTAGAGACATACTGAAAGGAAAGCTGGGACCGGGTAGACCTGACCTCTCTGATGGGGAGGCAGCAGCAACCCAGGGTGGTCTGAGTCTTTATTTGTGCACAGTAAAAAGGGTGGAAGTACAAGACGGAGTCCAAAGTGCAAGGCCTCAGTGTCTTGCTGGGAACACTGAAAGTGAAACATTCTCTGAGCTATCTGTGCTGCGGTTCACAGGGAGGGCGATGGCAGACACCTCTTAGGCAGGCTTTGCTGTGGTCCCCACAACTTGTTTATACAGCTTCCTCTGGAGCTTTGTGTTTTGGGGGCCAGCCTTACTCTAGCCTCAAATGTGTAGTCCATCGCCAGCTCAGCCTCTGCCCGCAGTGAGTCTGTGAGGGAGGTCAAAGGCTGTGCATCTAATACGTTCCCAAGTGACTCCAGCATGGCTGGTCTGAAGCCACTTGACCTCAGGCTTCCCAAATCCACTCGGTCTTGGGCATCTGAGAATCGGTCACTCAAATCTAATCATTTGAAACAGCTAATCATAAAGTGAACCAAAACTCATTGTAACAGCTCATCTGGGACAATTTAGAACAAATATTCTTTTTGCTGTGAGAGTCATGGTTATACAGAAATTCTTGGCTATGTTTTAAAAGAAATGACTGCATCTACACATATATTTATTTTGCTATGTGACTTAGGAGTTTTGGATCCACAAGCAACTTTGGGAGTTTCATACTGACTGTATAAGGGGAAGAATGTATGCGTTTAAATATATTAGGGGTTTGGGAAAATAAACTCATCTTGGCCCTCCTGAAACAAAATGCTAGCTTGACTGCCTGGTCAGCTCACAGTGGGACAGAGCTCTGTGGCTATTCGTAGGGACGAAAGGGGCAGTGTGGTATGGAGGGCAGTGCTCTGCAGAGGTCATTCACGTGCGAACGCCAGCTTCAGCGCCCTTCTGTGCTGGCCACAGCCTGGTTCTCCCTTCCGTAGCTCCTCCTCCCTGGGCTGTGTTTGTCCCATGAGTCAAGCTGACGTAGCCCCCAGGGCTGCACCTTGACCGCCTTAAGCCACTTGCTCACCCTCTAAGCCAGCTCCTTCCTCAGCCAGCTGGTGTGCACAGGTGCTAAGCTGTTTTGCTATGTGAGGTCTCTTTCTCGCTGTCCCCACCCCATGAGTTCTAGGACGGCAGTTATCTGTAACTATAAGAGACATCAGCCATGGAATGAGGCTAATGCCTGAAGGCCACAGATGGAATATAGAACGAAATTTTCCCCTTGATGAAACCACACACGTTCTACCACGGACCTTGCTGGTCCCGTGGGCCCACAAAGTCCTGTATTATTTAAGCTGGTTTTCTGTGACTTGCTCTTCTAAGCATCCTAGCTGATGGAGACTTTCAGTCTTCTCAAAGGCTGTTTCTGTGCTTTAAATTTTGTTCAGGAACTTAGTACCCCTACCTAGTGCCTGGCAATAAATCCAGTAGAAAATAACACATAGCATTTGGTAGAGAGTCAAGAAAACTCATTTGATCATCACAGGGATTCGAGAAGATTACCAGAGATGGTATTGGTGTTCCCTTTTTACAATTTAGTACAGGGATTGTCGAGCTACAGTCTGTGTCAAGCTATGTATTTTTTTTATGCATGGATTATGGTGTCACAGTCATGCACACTCCTTTACAGACTATCTCTGGCTGTTTTTGTACTGCAATGGCAGAGTGGAGTAGTTGCAACAAAGATTGTATTGTCTGCAAAGCTAAACCATTTGCTATCTGAGGCTTGCATGTGTCCTGTCGACATGCATGAGTTGGAAATGCAATCCCCAAAGCAACAGGGTAAAAGGAGGGGCCTCCTGGGAGGTGAGGAGGTCACGAGTGGGTTAGTGGCATTAACAAGCAGCGGGTTCATGATCTCGAAATGAGGCTAGTTGCAGAAGTGTCACTCTTTTGGTGACCTTTGTTGCATATGGTGACTCCCACAGTGTCATGATGCAGCAGGAAGGGCCTCACTGTCTTGAACCTTTTAGCCTTCAGAGCCATGAAACAAATCTGTTTTCCTGACAGATTCCACACTATTGTCTTACTGCAACACAAAACAGACTAAAATGTGGACCCTAACAGGAGATGTTGGTCAGCCTTTTGTCTGTTTAGGGTATGGGGGCCTGGGCTTTCTAAAGGTGCCATGCAAGACAGTGGCAGATCCAGGGCTTAGAGTCAGGCCTTCCAAACAGTGAGTTTTAGCTGTGAGCATTTTAGACTCCAAAGGACCTCGTGATCATAACATTCAATGGAGTAAATGAGACACATAAGTTTAAATATCACATGGTTGCTTTTACAAGAGAAACCTGAATTATGAAGAACAAATAAATGACAGATTATAGGATGTCAAGAGACAGATCTTTCTCAAATGGGAAGGAGACCAAGAGGTGGAGGGAGGGGAAGAGGATGAAGAGAGAACCAAGGTGTGTCACGCACCTACGTTGGCGCCCTGTGGTGCACATCATCACTACGTCCTGCAAGCAAGCACTAACAAAAATATACATTATAATTAAAAAACAGAAATATTTTGTGCAGAGGTAACCTTGGGAGGCATGTGGCCCTCTCACCCTTTGGTCCAAGAAGGAAGCTGCTGCCTTCTTCCCCCGGCTCTGTGGTTATTGCAAAGGGAGTTCTGTGCTCTCAGCTTTCCTGACCGAGGGGCAGGGTCTGTGTATATGGAGGACTGTGTGATCTGACCGCCTGTACTAGGCATGCACAACAGCCCCAGAAACCCTTGGCCACCAGTGCTAGGCGTTCAGCTGGCCTTGTTCACAAGGGAGCAAGAGCTCCAGTGGGGACAGTGACCAAGGTGGGAGGACTGCCTTGAGGGCAGTCCTGACGCAGAAGCTCAGGGATACAGGTGAGAGGAACGGAGAAGAGGCTCTGACAGCAAACAGGAAGCAGGGAGCTCCCCAGGCTGGAAGGTGTCACCCAAGCCTGAGAGGCTATGTTTAAGAAAGAATGAAAAGACAACTAAGTAGTAGATAAGAGATGATAAAAAACCATTCTTAAAAATCCTCTTATAGGAAGGAAAAATAAAATCCTCAAACTTTCTTTTCTGGCATGGAAGAGAAAAAAAAAAAGGTCCTTAAAGAACCAAATTACTATTTTTTCATGTTGCATGAAAATCGAATCCAGCATTACCATCTTAAGAACTAATAAATGGTCCAAGAAGTAAGTGCATTCACTCGCGACAAGTTCCCACACGGCCTCTTGCTGTTTGCTCAAGTCTAATTGGTCAGGAGGGACTTTCTGATGTGTTGCCACGACTTCATTCCAGGTCTTATCCTGCACAGGAGGAGAAAGGAGAGGACAAAACATTCCTGCTTCAGTGGCTGGCCCTGTCCGCTGTTTGCCTTGGCTCGCAGTCTGGCAGGAATCCCGGGCTCCCTGTTGGCAGCACCCCCTTCCCCAGTCGCCCAAACCACCGCTCCCGTGGCTCAGGAATGCCAGTTCCTCCCAGGGCAAAGCATGAGAGTCTAAAATCAAAGGCAATGCAAGTGATGTGATGCGGAATTACGCCTGACAGTTGCAGGAGTCCTTTCTAGTCTATTCTGAAACTCAAGGAACTCTGTGGTTGGCACTGCAAAGTCTGATTCCAGGTTCCTCCACCAATAGCGTTTCAGAGTAACTGCTGATGAATCATGATACAGAAGTGTTGGCACTCAGGAGACCCTTGGAAATTATTTTATCCAAAATGACTTCCTTTTTAGATGGGGAATTGAGGGCTGGTAAAGTACACTCCTTTGTCCCTTAATGATAGGAACATGGTCTGAGATACGCACTGCTAGCTGATTTCGTAGTTGTGTGACCGTCACTGTGGGTACTTACAGAAATTACAATTGCAGTGTCACCAGTCCATATCATTTTCTGAGATCACCATTGATGTGGATTGTTATGGAGGGGAAGGTCATTAAGTGCTGCTTGACAGTATTAACATTTCTTCAGGGCTTTGTGGTCTACAAAGTCTCCTCATAGCCATTACCTCATTTCACATACGGTGGCTTTTCCCAGGGTTTGGTGTCCTGCCCAGCCCTGGCAGAGATATTTTCCTACACCTGGCAGTTATTATAAAGTAGGCAATAATAGGACAGTTTGAAATAAGGAACCACAGAAATGAATAAGCAAAACAAGAGAGAAGCAAGGCTCTGATCCACCATTAGCATACCACGCAGTAAATCATACTGTACCTTTAGTTTGCAGAACTCATAGTCCCTGAAGTCTGTAATCTTCACTGTAGACAGGCAGTTTTCCAGATCGGTTAGGTACTTGTGTTTGTCTTTGCCCTGCTTAAAGATCGTTAGAAATGGCATGAATTTTTTGTTGACACAGCTTCAGCAGCCTCAGCATCTTCTGTTGATCCTTTAATGTGCACAAAATGAGACCAAACCACTGGCAGATGCAGCCACTGCGGGCCACAAACTGTACCACGGCCATTTCTAGGCCACAGTTCCACCCCGAAGACCAGCATGTCAGGGACGGAGGACAGAAGTTCATGAGGCTATAGTCTAAAACTTGCTAAAAACAGACAGACAGACAGACAGACGGGCAAAAGCAAGGCACAGGATGGGCATAGAGCAAATATGTAGGCTTCACCTCTAGGGCCCACCCTTAGAGTCATGACTTCATCTGCAGCTTTAACTTTTCTAAACTGTGGACCCCAGAACATTAGCGTCAGGAAGTGCCTCAGCTGTAGGGGGTCAACCTCTAACTAAGCGGCTCCCTAAATAAAGCCCAGCTAGTGAGACTTGCCCATTGTAGCAATTCTCTGCTAGAAGTAATTCCAGAAACTCTAGCTTCCTTAGAATGCAACCACCCACCCATTTACTTCTGTCACAGTCTTCGTTCTTAATAATGCGGGCTTTAAAATTTGCATGACAGATAGTGCTCAATTACTGCAGGATATTGAGAAACAAGGAAAAATAACCAAAAATAAAGTCATTCCTAATCCAGAGCCTCAGATAAATTATAAACATTTTCTGGTACTATTTGTAATTCATTTTTAAATACTATCACATTTACATATTCTTCTGTAACTTGTTCGCTAAGCTTGATAGATTGTGAGTAGTTTGGGGTGGATCCAGCAATGTTCTACTGCATGTCCTGAAACACTCACTTGGAGCTCAAGTGACCAGCCAGACCAGGAAGAAGCTATCCAATAACAAGGCATCAGGCTTTCTACCGGGGCCACCTTTCAGTGCAGTGTTTATCGCAGATAATCTTTCAAGGCATTGTGTTGCCTGAGGGTGCCTGGTGCTGGTGTGTTCACACAGGGTTTGGGGAAGTTAACCCGGTGTTGTGTGCACGGGCGGAAGGAGGCACGAGCTCCACTGATGTGTCCAGTGGGGCCCCTTCCCTGGCTCCCCAGGGTGCTGGTCTCTGTTGCTTGTGGCACAGACAGAGGGATCCTTTCATAGCCTCTGTAGCCTCCTCAGTAGCAAAGGAATCTTGGAGGCAGCTGGAGACCTCCTACGGTCCTTGGGCCATACGCCTTTTGTTGATATCTGAAACCATAGTGACTGCACGTGGTGGCAATAAAAACCTAGCAGTCGTTTGGAGAGGACAGAAGATGGGATAAAGGCAACAGAGCCGGAGTTGAGGGCGCCAGCGCCGCACTCTGGAGGGCCCTCCTGGTCAAGTTGGAACAGCCTGCGGTCCAAGGCGGAAGGAGGCGTCCCTCCTCCCAGGGACCACGTTGACTGCTCAGCATACAGACACTTCTCAGGCCCCGATGCTTCTTCCACCATGGTGACACTGGCCAGGAAGTGGGAAGGCTTGGAGGGAGCCTGAGAGGATATGGGGACTAGGAGAAGCGGGGAGTCGCGGCTGGCCCGAGGAACCTGGGGACAGGCCACACGGAACTGCAGGGGAACTGGTGAGGGGCACTGGGGTGAAACTGGGCTCAGGTTGTATAGATACGTTTGGAGCAGCTGATGAAGAGACAGTATTAAATTGGTGAGGACAGAGGCCATCTTCTGGAGATGTGATGGCAGAAAGGACGGGGGAATATCTGGTCTGGTTATGGGGGCAGCGGAGTGGTGCAAGGTCTGGGCTGGTGCAAACTCACGGCCAGGCTGCCTGGGGCCCTGGGGTCCTGTTAACTGCTGCCCATTAGCTGTGTCACTGCAGGGAAATGACTCAGCCTCGCTGAGCCCATCTCCCCATTTGTTAAAAGGGGCTAATGTGACCTACTTTGTTAGAGTGCAAGAATTTACACAGTGACGTGTATGCTATGATGTGCACAAGCAAGGACACCTATAAACAGAAATGGTGCCTGGTACTGTGACAACACGCACACACACACACACACACACACGCATCCACACGCATGCATGCATACTCACACAGACACATGCATGTGGATGCACACATGACACACATGGAGATACATGCACATGTATGCATACACACACGCATGCATGCACACACAGAACCTTTATTACTAATATTGATCATTAGGGAGAAAGGAAGGAAGGAAGGAAGATACAAAAGTTCTACTAGATTAGGAAAGTATGCTACAATCTAGAAGTGTATGTGGATTACCACTTAAAAACACCGATTACTTGATAAGTAAGGTTAAGAAGGTAAAGGAAGTAGAAGTATCTGTTTTAAGGGAACTACATAGTGTGCCACTTTGAAAATGGGACTTAATGAAATGAACTTTCCTTCCTTCCTTGCTGGGAACTTTTACTGGAAAGGTTTTGTTATTGCACTACTCAGCCCTTTGTATCTACTGGCTTCAATCGCTGGACTCAACCTACCACAGATTAAAAACAGCCAAAACCAATTTGTGCCGAATGTAAACAGACTTTCATTGTCATTATTTCCTAGATAGTACAGTAGAACAACCATTTCCTTTATGTACTTAGTACAAGGTCTACAGGGTGTTACTACACAGACTCATAGTGGTCCTCCTGTTTTCAGCTTCCCAAGTGCTGGGATTACAGGCGCGCACCACCAAGTCCAGTCTCATTTCGCCGTCTCAGCGTGCCCTGGGGGCGGGGCCAGCACAGCACACCGGGGATTGAACCCCCAGCCCCTGAGTCTGCCTAGGCAGGTGCTTTAATCCATTGAGCTGTCTGGCCAGCTCTAGAAACAACCATTTGTGTGGCATTGACATGGTTAGACACATAGAGAGGACGTAAGGAGGATGCATTAGGCTGCATGCAAGCACTAGATCATTTTTATTTTTTCTGTATTTTAGGGAAGGGTCTACAGGATGTTCAGGGTCTCAGTACTAGATCAGGCTCGTAGTGATCTGCCTGTTTACAGCCTCCCAAGAGATGAGATTACAGGCATGCGCCACCTCACCCAGTCTCAATTGGCATTTCAGTGCACCCTGGGGGCGGGGCCAGCACAGCGGGCCTGGGGATCGAACCCCCCGGCCCCTGTGCCTGCTTGCAGGCGCTTTAATCTGCTGAGCTATTTGGCTGGTCCTAGATCATTTTATCTGAAGCACTTTATATAAAGCATTCTCCCTTGTGTGTCTCCACCACTGCCTCCCAGTTCAGGGCAAGAACCATTTAGCACCTCTCCTTCCTATTTTATGTCTCAGCCTGACCTTCCCCACGGGCATGTTAGATTTCTAGCCCAGAATGGAGCACACAGTGTCAGCCAACACACATCGGATTGAGCTGCTTCATTCTTGGGGAAAGAATACATTGCTATGGACTGCCTGGAGGATGCTCTTCCCTCGGCTAGGTCCTTCTTTCATCTGCTAAGTCCTCCCCTCTCGAAAGCGTGTTTATTTCCGAGCAGGCCTCCTCCTTGGAGGACCCCACTGGAGGGCTGGGGAAGAGTGACTCCCTCTGGGTATCTCAGACAGGGCTGGTGCAGAATCAGCCCCTGTGAAGAGGAAGGTGCCCTGGAGGACCTGCCCCGTCTCAGTCCCACAGGACAGGGTCACAGTATGTCCTGGAATGACTGACGGGCACCAGCTCTTGTGACAATGGTGCTACTCTACTACTCACAACTTAAGATTTGGAGTTCATATAGTTTACACCGTGTTACAAACAACCTTTCTATTTTTGAAAACCATCATGTAAAAATCAATCGTATACATGCCCATGAGAGGAAGTAAGTTGTTCCAAACCCTGATTTGAAGAGTATGATAGTATTACTACTGATATGGCAATACTGATTGAACGTTTACAAGTGCCCAGATTTGGGAGCGGCTTCTTAAATACTACAATTCAGTCTGCACAGCTTCCTGTGAAGCCGCCATTGCGACTTGCCACCCTCTAAAGGAAAAGCTCACCCCACAGGAGTTAATGCATTTGGCCAAGGTCACGAGGCGTAAATCAAGCAGCTAGAATTGCCACCTTGGAGGACTTTTAATTTAGCTACTGGTCTTCAACTTTTCAAGATAACTCTGTCCTCGGAAACACAGTGTTGTGCCTGTGACAAACTGATTGGAGAGGCCATGGGGCAGATTTTAATAGACCAAAGGACGGCAGCTTCCCCCAGGCACTGCTGCCCCCAAACGGCTGTGGTGTGCAGGTGTCACAGCTGTGCTGTTGGAACACCTTTCAGTTCTGCTTCTTCCACGAAACGAGAAAGCAGAGCCCAGCTGTGGTCACAAACAGGCCTGCTTCAGGATAGAGCACCCTCGTTCTAGGTAGCCAAGCCCCACAGAGCCCTGATTTAGATTTATTACTCTTCAATAGCCGATGGACCTGAGAACGAACTTTAAAATCTACTAAGACTAATCCAACTGACTTAGGGATGGATGCATGGTTGTAGAACGTCTTTCTGTAATATCTCATTAATTTTCAATGTTCCCAATAAATATAGCATTGCCTGCAACTTGGCCATTTGGGGCACACGGTTGCTCAAGTTCTCCTCACTGAGTAAGCTGCTTAATGAGTTGCACTGAGTTATAGACCTAGTGCTGTGAAGCGCCCCCTGTTAGAGTTGCTTTGCTTGTTTTGCAGAACTCATTAACCACTGGCAATTAGCTCTGTCTTGCTGCCCCAAATGGCACCATTCGGTGTGTTCCGCAGTCAATTTACAGATGGGATGATATCACTTACATTTCATGTGGCATCTGCCTTCATGCAAAGATAAAGCAGAATACAGGGGCTCTTCAGCCATTTCTTACTTTCTTAGTCACAAGAGGCCTAATTATAAACAAAACTTACAGCGAGAAACACTTACCACTCCTCTCTTGGAGAAAGGCCATCTTGTTTTTTTGGATTCTGGTGGGTGAAATTAAAAAAAAAAATACTGTTACTTAGAGTAACTGGTGACAAATAGATCATTATGGTGCTTTATAAAATCTCCCATTTGAAAATAAGCCAATAGAATTCCCCTCTGAATGGCTGGAGAGATGGCTCAGTGGTCTAAAGCACCTACTTGGAACAAGCTTGGCAAGGCATCAGGGACCGCGGTTCAATCCCCCAGCACCACATGCCAGCCAGCTCCGCCCCCTGGTGGGCTGAGCTGGCCACATACACACACCTCTCCCTCTCTCTCTCTCTCTCTCTCTCTCTCTCTCTCTCTCTCTCTCTCTCTCAAATAAATAAAAAATTAAAAAAAAAAAAAGAATTCCCTCTGAAGTAATTTTCTTCCTGTAGAAAATGCACAGAATGGGAATATTTTTGCAGATGAATGAATAGCACCAGGTCGTAATCTGAAGTTGAGGCTCTTTTCTACCTACAGGTGACCCTGCTCTGCTTGTCTATGGGTGTGGGGTTAACCTTCTTTCCTTCTAAGCTGGGGAGAAATCTACAAATGGCAATGAGGAAATTGAGTCATTTAAGACAGAGGCAAAGCACTTAGGGCTGAAAGGACTGGATCTTTGTTTTGCCTTTTATGTACCATAAATCATCCCTCACATGCAAAGTCGGTTGACTGAGCCCCCTCAGACCTGGGGCTTGCATCAGCCCAATCCAGATGTGGTTCAGCAAAGACTCCTGAGACAGAGAACAGTGACAGAGAACAACACTTGCGGCCCTGCCCTACTCAGGAGCTGTGTGTGAGAAACTCAGGCCCCTTGGTGTACACATAGGCTGTCCCGGAGTTCTCTTCCTGTCAGATACGAGACTGTACCCGTCATGCTTGAGTCAGACAGAAGCAATTACTTGAGCAGGGCTGGCAGCAGAGAATGTGTTTAAGGACCTTTTCTATGTAACTTTGGATGGGTCCTGATCAGCTCAAGTGGTCATCCTGTCATTTGCTTTGACCACATTATTGGGCTTTATAAAGGAGAAGGCTCCCTGAGGGACAAACGATGTTCACCGCATTTAGCCTTCGAGTGATGTGTAGTAGACGATCATATCTAACCGAACTTGCTTTGTTCTTGGCAAGTGTCTCCCTTCTGTATTTCTTACTTGAGGATAACTTTAGAGCCTGGGGAATGCTTTCCAAGTGCTCTGAAGATTTATATGTCTTTGTTAAATTGACGGCGGTTCATTACCTATCTTGAATATGTTTGTTAATTCAGAATCTATTTTGACAATATCTGTAGAAGTCTCATACATACATCAGAGACGAGAGACACCCTGCAGGCCGTGCATTGGGACCGTCAGACCCCTGTTGTAAACTCCTTGAGAAGAGGGAACGGAGGGCTCTGTGGCTTCTACCGTGATGCTAGACGCCCAGCTCAAAACCAGCTGGTGTAGCCTAGAAGCATCATTGCAGTATGAGCTTGTTCTTACAACGGCAGCTCCTAAACTCCAACTGGCATCACAGTCATCTGCAGGGCTTGTCATAAAATGGGCCAGAAGACACCATCCCCAGAGTCTGTCATTTGGAAGGTAGACATGGGGCCCACAGCCTGCATTTCTGACATCTCAGGGGATGCTGAAGCTGTTGGTATGAAACCAGAGTTTGGTTAATTGATTTAGAACATTGGTGAAGCATCATGAGATGTGTACTAACCAATGCTAGGGTTACCCTGGGCTTGAAGTAGCTCTGCCTGCTGCGGGGCCCATCCTCGAGCCAATCATGTGGCCCCTCTTGGCTTGTTAGCTTGGGTTGTGGTATCTTTATGAACAGTTACTCATTCTTATATGTTGTATCACGTAAGGCAGTAGATGTGGAAGGGATACACAGTGGTGGAAGAGTTATAAACATGTTCTTTGTGCTGCGTTGCCCGGTGGCTTCTGGGTTCCTCATGCAGAAGACCCATTTGTGCATGCGGGGGGCGGGGGGATGGATTTGGGCTGGTGAGGGGATGCTGTGTGAACAGTGCTAACAGTCAAGAGTTTAGAGTCCACTCCGCTGAGATGAGTGGCTGCCACCAGAATGAGATCACGTTTTTCTGGGCCTTACTTGGCACTAGCTGAGTAAGAACTGGGCCTGATGGTTTTGCCCGGTGTCCAAGGCCTTTAGCAGTGCCTTAGACATGGGATTACTGAATTTCTGAATAAGGGTTCTTTTGTAAAATGGACCCTGCCAAGAATAATCAGTCTAAAGACCAACATGGATAATGTTTATGTCTTCTTTTAAGTCTCAAACAGTCTTTAATTCGCATTTCCTCTGCGTTATGGGAAAGCACTCAACACCACAGCTGCTCTTTCCCTTCACAGCTGGGCTGCCTCTGTGACAGACTCTCACGTGCTCCCAGCCCCTCAGCCTTCCCCACGTGTCACCCTCAGTGTGAGGCTGCAGACCAGGAGTGTGTGAAAGATAAGACATACAACAACTATAGAACTGCTGCCCATGAGCCAGCGAAAGGGCTCTGATCCTAAATGGTGACCAGGACAGAGCACCTATCCACGGTCCTGGACTTGGGATAAATGATTTTACAAGAGGTCATTAAGGCGACACCCGCTCCTTATCCATTTCTGTAAAGGGAATGCCTACCAGCAAGACTTGTCAGCTAGGTCAGATCATTCACACCTTGTGTCTGCTCCGACTGTTGAGCATCTGTTCTAACACATCAGTGTAGTGATCTCCTGGTTATTAAACATTTGCAGAATCACCCTTGCTTATGACCATTCCTGACCCATAGCAGACACACAATGAACATAGATAGCCTAAATGAAGGGCACCTGAATTCAGCAGCAGAAGCGGGTGGCACAGGTAATCGGCGGCTCCGTCAGACACCAGGAGGTCCCCGGGGAACACCTCAAGTCCAGGCAAGTTCAGCACCACAGAACTTCGCCTGTGCTCATAGAACCTGTGCTCAAGAGAGGAAAGATAAGAGCTCAGAGTGGGGTTCAGGCAAGTCCCCCTCCTGCTGATCACACGGAAGTGGCCGCTAACTGCCTGTGCCTTTTGTCAGAACCAACACAATCACTTCTTAACCTGGTTCTTTACCTTCAGCTCTATCTGCTCAATTCCATCCTGTGCAAAGTCACTACATGGGGCTTATTCAAAATTGGAGTCAGACCTTGTTCCCCAGGGGCTCAAGACACTTCAGTGGCTTGTCATCCTTAACAAGTTCCAGTCACGTAAGCCATGTACTCAAGCGTTCTGTGGTCTAGCCCTGTTGACCTTGACCTTCCTGTTATTCTATACCTTGCAATTTAACCTCCAGAAATAGGGGATGGATTGCAGTTCTCACACAGAGGTGTTTCATACACAGGTGTCCTCACTGGACATGCTTCACCCCTTCCTGCCCTCCCAGCCTTACCTCCTCCTCATGCAGGAGACTCAGACCCCTGGTACCTATGTTAAGCAACTTCTAAAGAAACACAAATAGAAGAGTAAAACTGGGCCCAGCCACATCCAGGTCTCTGTACCATGTGGTTTTGTCATGTTGTGCCTTTCCTTTCTCCAGTTCTCTCAATTCATTGTTAATGGATGAACATGAATGAACGAAATAGTTCTCTAATGTCCTCTCTTTTGGGAAGTGATTGACTTTATAAAGTCTTATTTCCTCTACTGTGCTAGACTCCTAGCATCTAATCTAAATCTCCATTTAACAAGGACTTGGCAAACGTTTGTGAAGTGAACGGAAGAATAACCAAACGTGCAAAACTTCAAGCGATCACTGCAGAACCTGACTCTGGAAGTAGTGTGTTGCGTGCTGTTCTTTAACCACTCCGGACTTCACTTCTGTGCCTTGGCTCACGTAGGTCCCATCTGCCTCCCCAGCTCTGCTCAGTCTGCCTGGCAAATGGACTCATCACTAAGCTCTGGCCTACCTGTTCTTCCTCCAGAAGTCTTTTCTCATCTACTTAGGAAGGGTCAGCCTCCCTCCCCTCCTTCTCAACCTCTTCTCTCATAAAGACTTCACACAAGGCTCCTCCTGGGTCTTATATATTACAGGATCTAATCACAGCATAGAATCTGGCCTAATGCAGTTTTCATTAACTCATTGAATAAATAAATAGACATGTTGGCCTACAGAATAAAATCCTGTCCTCAGGTGCATATGGTTCTACATTCTGGATCAGAAATAAATAGTTATGTGCATACACACAAGCAGACTACAACTTGATCCTCCCCACCTTCTCCCTGTTCCATTATAGGAGGTTAAAGAACATGACCTGTTTTTGCCTTATCTTAGACAGCTTTGAACATAAGGCATCCTTTTGGGATGACACAGGCCAGGATTGGAGCCGTATTTTTACACATGAGAGGAAGACACCCGACTGCACCAAAGTCGAGCCTTGACCTTGGCTTTTGACCTCGGTGGCAAACCCCAGGGATGCTAGTTATGGGGAGGCAGGAATGGCCCCAGAAGGACATAATAGGATCTCTGTGGACATGAAATGCTTTCCTTCATTGAAAGGCAGCATGCATTAATAAAACTAAGAAGGGCCACAGTTGCAACCCTATAGACACTGGGAAAGCAATTAGAAAGAGCATCTACACCTTGTAATATGAAGAGATGTGGGTTGGCACAGAGAGCACAGCCTTGCATCATTTATGCCTGGCTGGTTCCGGCTTTTTGAGCACTCTGAAGAGCACTCTGGCCTGCCACCTGGAGTGGACCAGACGCTGGAATCATGATATTTGTGTGAATGAGTTGTAATGGATCTACGTGGCTCTGACTTCAGGTCTCCTAGGGGTGTGAGTGTTGGTTCCAGACTGGCATCTTGTGTGTGCTGTTCTAAATCCTAGGGTTGCTTCTTCTAAAAAGTGGCATGCATGCGGGGTCACGCGTGCGGTTCTGGATGGACCACCCACTGAAAGTAACTGTAATGAGTTCAGGATGCAAAGTGACAAAGTGGTGTCTTTGTGGGGTGAAGGTGTCCTGTGTGAAAGAGGCAGGAAGTGGAGTTTTCAGATATCTGATGTCATTGTAAGGAAATTAAACTAGGAAATAAACAAACAATAGATGCAAGACATTTGGAGTGTTGCTGACACCGGGTGCCATTGTGTAGGTAGAGTGACAATATAGCTATACTGCCCTGCATTTGTTTGGAAAATAAATGTTTATGAGAAATGTATTCTTTTAGGTGTCTTTTGCTTGATCCTTGAATATTAATATCTTCCTTTAGGGCAAATTTCTGGACCCAGGAGGCACCCTTACTTTGCAGTCTTCTGGAGCTGACCCCCTTGCCCTGACCCACCCCAGTTCCACTTAGAAACCACAATGCAGCCATACTTACACTAACCCTGAGGTGCGAGGCCCCAAGCTGGTCAGATCCGAAGGGACTAGTCCCATGGTTGCTGGGATAACTTTGTCTCCCTTCTGCTACCAGAATGTCTCTGTATTCTGTCCTCTGCTGCAGACTGGCAGATCCATTGTGTGGGTGGGGGCGGCAACGGTTCAGAGAATCTCAGGAATTCCCCTCATTACCCAGCAGGCCATATGCCCATGAGTCAACACTAGCAATGAGGCTGCTCCTACTTGGTATCAAAAGAGTTAGTAACTGCTGGAAAAGTGTCCCCCAGTGGACACCGGATGCATAGGTTTCATACATAATAGATTGGTTTTGGTGAATATTATTTTAATTTAAAGTGAGCTGACGTTCACTGGGCTCTAATTCTTCCTTGATGTGCTATGAAGTATCTTAGGTACATTATCATAGTGATTTTCGCAAGTACCCTTGGAAGTAGAAATTCCTACTCAGTTTAGACCCCAGGATGCTGAGGTTTAGAAAGATGAGGTGAATAAGTCATCGAAAGGCGCATTGTTTTGTGAAAGTCAGCGCCAGAATTCAGAATTCCAATAGGCAGGTGTGACTCTAGAAAAATATTTAAACCAGAGAAAGGGAAAAGGTATTGGCAACCACTGTGAAGCACAATGTTGGTTCTAAATTTCTGCCTGTCCTCCAAATTGGAGTCTACTATAGTAAGTGGGGCTGTATAGTGAGTGGTAAGGTAGCCCCAAAAGATAATGTCCGCATTCTAATCCCCGGAGCCTTATTTGTAAGAAGGGTTTTAGCAGCTGTAATGAAATTAGGATTGCGATGAGAAGATTCAATGATGAGGGTCTTGGAAAGGGACACCTGAGCAGAGACTCAGAGAAGACAGAGGCCAAGAGAAGACAGAGGTGTTCATGTACACTCGGGAACTCCTGTTCTTTAGCACTCTCCTGAGGAATTTTTTTTTTTTTTCGTTTAGTACAGGGTCTACAGGGTCTCACTATACAGATTGGACTCATACTGATCCTCCTGTTTTCAGCCTCCCCAGCACTTGGATTACAGATGCATGCCACCACGCCCAGTCTCAGCATACCCTGGGGGCGGGGCCGGCAGAGCATGTTGGGAATCCAACCCTGGTCCCTTGAGCCTGCCTAAGCAGGCGCTTTAGTCTGCTTTAGTAGCTGTCTGGCTACTCTGTCCTCCTGAGTTTTGAGCACAGCTTCTTCACGTGCCTTTTCAAAAAACTGATTCTTTGCACATTCGTTCCTCCAGGTCAGCTATCTCCTCACATTCTGTCCAGTCCTTAAAATGAGTTGACTTATTTTATGTATTTATTTTTTTTGGTGGAACCAGGGATTGAACTCAGGCCCTTGAGCTTGCCAGGGAAGCACTTATTCCAATGAACCATCTCCCCAGCAAAATGAGTTGACTTATAAAGAATATTTTCATTTATTCTAGATTTACTATTTTGCTTTAATGAAATAGAATTTAAAGGTAATGGTTTGTTCTTTTATAGTACGCTCTAATATTTAAAATTATACCTTTTCTTTGAATCCTGTGGAACTAAACGATGGAGCAAATGATGAAGAAATAAGATTTTTTTTTTTAAATGTAATGGGTTGTTGCGGGGTATCATTACACAGCTCAGACTCATAGTGATCCTCCTGCTTTCAGCCTCCCCAGTGCTGGGATTACAGACATACACCACTACATCTGGACTCTGTGGCTGGCTTAGCCCACCCTGGGGGCAGGGCTGGCATGGCATGTGGTGCTGGGGATTGAACCCAGGTCCCTGATCTTGCCTAAGCAAGTGCTTAGTCCACTGAGCTATCTTGCCAGCCTGAAGAAATAAGATCTTAATGTTAATTTTCTATCAACTTTGTTACTACTTTAGAAAAACTTTACATACAAATTTTTAGGAAAAAATTTCAGCAACTGAAACTTAGGAATTTTAAAACCAGAACAATTTGTTGTACTAGTATAGCCTCAATAAAGAACAAATATATTTTTTTAAAAAAGACAGAGAGGCGAAAACTGAGGTGACACAGGCACAAGCCATGGCATGCCCGAATGAAGCAGCAAGGAAGACCTCTGCAGCTTGCAGAGGGAGTCGAGCTCTGCCCATAGGATTTTAGACTTTTTTCTTCCAAGCCATTTGGCTTGGGCTAATTAAGTGCAGCAGCCACAAGAAACGGATCCCGGGCATTCTACTGAGTGGCACAAGCCCTGGACTTGGCACTAGATTCCCAGCCACGACCTTCCTCTTGAGTGAGCTTGGCATTTGGCTTCCTTGGAGCTCTGTTTCCCAGGTGACAAATAAGCATGATGGGTGAGGGCTTTTCCATCCCTCAGCATGCAGGGTCCCAGTGGAGGACCCCCCTCCTTTCCTCTTCAGTGGCCGGTGGGTAGGGTGGGGATTGTGCAGTGCAGGTTTATTTTGGCAGAAATGCTTTCAGATAAATAATTCAGAACTCTCATTAGAAATATGACTGAGAGATTGTGCATCCCTTAAAAAGACCCCTTTGCTTCCCTAGTTACTTCCCTGAGGTGATATGTGTGTTTTAATGGAGTAAAGTCTCACTGAAGCTGCTACAGTCTGGAAATTTGTCTTCTCTGTGTTACAGATGTTTCCCAACTA